TCAGCCTTATTCTATTTCCCAGGGAGGCTGGCCTACGTGCCCGGGCCTGTCAGTGATGGGAAGGAGTAGGGTGAAGGAGGGCCCAGGAAGGCTGGGGATGAGCACCATCTTGTCCCTCTTCATTCTTGCCTCACCCTCTGCCACTGCGACAGGCATGAGGCAGAGTTAGGTATCTCATTCACTGTGGCTTCACCTGTCATCCTTCCTAAACTTGACACCCAACGCTGTTCTCTCCCAGCTGGGTAAGTAGATCTGTTCATTCTCCTTCACTCCCTACCAGCCACCTTTGCCCTGAAGTATTAAGAATGGGATTGGATAAAGAGGGGGGCTACGCCAGAAGGCCAAATGTGGAGATAGTGGCTGTCTGCAGGGAGGACTGGGAACACCAGTGCTTCGGTACCAGCAGCCTCTGGGATCATGCTAAGACCTGGGGAGTTCAGCTGACTGGGAACAGGGACCATAGGTTCTAAGGAAATGTTTGAATTGGTTTCCTGGAAAGAAGACACAGGCAAGCTGCAGAGAAGCTGGGGGTGGTGGTGGGGTGGGCACAGTGCCTTCTCATCTAGTATTAGAGATAGTGTGGGCCTTTGCTCTAATCTTGAATGCTCCACCCGGTGGATTTTTGCAGCCCCCTTTTAGGAGGATGTCAGTCTGCTACCGTCCGCCTGGAAATGAGACGCTGCTGAGCTGGAAGGCCTCTCGGGCCACCGGCACCGCCTTCCTACTGCTGGCGGCATTGCTGGGACTGCCGGGCAACGGCTTCGTAGTGTGGAGTTTGGCGGGGTGGCGACCCACTGCGGGGCGGCCGCTGGCGGCCACACTTGTGCTGCACTTGGCGCTAGCCGACGGCGCGGTCCTTCTGCTCACCCCGCTCTTTGTGGCCTTCCTGAGCGGGCAGGCCTGGCCCCTGGGCCAGGTGGGCTGCAAGGCGGTGTACTACGTGTGCGCTCTCAGCATGTACGCCAGCGTGCTGCTCACTGGACTGCTCAGCCTGCAGCGCTGCCTAGCTGTCACTCGACCCTTTCTGGCTCCCCGACTACGTAGCCCGGCTCTGGCCCGCCGCCTCTTGCTGGGGGTCTGGCTGGCCGCCCTGGTGCTCGCCGTTCCGGCCGCCGTCTACCGCCACCTCTGGGGCGATCGCGTGTGTCAACTGTGCCACCCATCGGCAGTGCACGCCGCTGCTCATCTGAGCCTGGAGACCCTGACTGCCTTCGTCCTGCCTTTTGCAACAGTACTCAGCTGCTATGGCGTGACGCTGACGCGTTTGCGGGGCGCGCGCTGGGGCTCTGGGCGACACGGCACACGGGTGGGTCGTCTGGTGAGCGCCATCGTGCTGGCCTTTGCCTTGCTCTGGACCCCCTACCACGCGGTCAATCTCTTGCAGGCAGTGGCTGCCCTCGCTCCACCGGAAGGGCTCCTGGCCAGGCTTGGCGGGGCGGGCCAGGCGGCGCGCGCTGGAACTACAGCCTTGGCATTTTTCAGTTCCAGCGTCAACCCGGTGCTCTACGTCTTCACTGCGGGGGATCTGCTGCCCCGGGCGGGGCCCCGGTTCCTCACTCGGCTCTTTGAGGGCTCTGGGGAGACCAGAGGGGGCAGCCGCTCTAGGGAGGGTACCATGGAGCTCCGAACTACACCGAGGCTGAAAGTAGTGGGGCAGGGCAGGGGCAATGGAGACCCTGGAGGCGGAGGCAGGATGGAGAAGGACAATCAGGAATGGTAGCCAAGACCTCAATCTCGAGACTTCCTTACCGCTTTCTATTGTTCCTGGAGCTCTAGGGTAGTTGGGGGGATCCTTCTCTGATTGCAGTTTGGGTTTGGCTGGACAGGTTTACTCCACAGACCCAGATTACTCCAAACCATGGGATTGTGTGGGTGACTGTGGCCTATGTTCAAAACTGGTGCTTGCAGTACAGCCTGGATTCAAGTTCCAGAAATGCTTACCTGTTGCCAGCAACTATTCTTGTGAAATAGACTGGGAAGCCATCAACTAATGGCTTAAATGTGTTCCTGTTAGTGGTTAGTCTTGCCTGTGTTGTACTGAAGCCACCTGCTCTCGGCTGGGAAAGGCCAGGACTAGACAGTGCCAGTCTTCAGTGGCTTTCTGTCCTGTCTCCCCATCCAGGGTACCCGATTTCCCAGGCCCGTCTCTAGAAGCACTGTGAAGTTTGGATAGGGATGTATAAAATCCATTCTTAGAGGCACGTAGGAGGAGGAAACCGCCCTGCCAGGGGGAAGTAAATCTGTGCAGTATAAAAGGGAAGGGTTCTGCTTGTCTTACAGTCAGTGCAGGGAGAGGGAGGCACACGGCTGAAGGGTAGTGCAGGAGCCTGGGGCTGCAAGACTGAACCTCTCCCTCTATCCCCCTGCTCACCCCTACACCCCTCCAAAAGCCACCAGGCCTGTGGGGAGCCTCAGGAGCCAGCACACTTTGCTAGAGGAAGCATGAGGGTTGATGAGGAGGAGGTGTGGAGAATGACTGGAAGATATGGAAAACTGAAACAATCATTCGGGAAGGTGGCACCTTTCCTTCCTCTGTCTTTTCTCTCTGCTGCCTTCCCTCTTCCCAGGATGCTAGCTGTTCCTAGCCTGTCCCCATTGCTTCCCAGCCTCCACCTCTGGAATCTCCCTATTATCAGATCTAGAACCTGAATGACACTTTTGATTTGGGTGACAGTAGAAGGCAATTTTTTTTTCTTTAGGGGACAATGCGGACACACATATGACCGGTCCGTCTAGTTGTCTCAGAACATTCTTATTAGCCCTGAATTTCTTATTCCTAGACCCTTCGGTCCTCAGCCAACTGAGGTGGCTGACCTCTCAAGTGGTTACTCCGGGCTCTTCTTCAATGGCTTTTCTCACCCTTCAAGCAGAGGCCAAGAGAAAAAAAAAAAGAAAGCCAGTCTCCAGGGTCATGCTAAAAACACTGGAATTCGTAATAAAGTGACCTCTGACCTAGGGAGGAAGTGTGTTTAGAGAGCCTGGTCTCTGGGGAGACTGCTCCCAAAGGAAGATGGAGCAGGCTGAGTGAGGGAAAGTGCAGCCCACCATCTGCTCAAAATGGTTCTGGATGGCCCTGGAGCTCTGACCCAGAAGCTTCTGTCCACGAACACAGAATTCTTCCTAGCCTGGCATTCTGGAGCAGAGGTTCCTGAACTTCCTGTTTTAAGTGTTTCACCTTACACAGCTGGTGTGGTCAGAGAGCTCTTCCTCAACTCCACCTTCAGTTCGCATTGTGGTTTCAGCCTCTTTACATCATATCCTCTGCTTGACAGTTACTGGGTCAGCGCTGATCTGGCTTTCCTCAGTGTACAGCAAGTGAGGGCACTGGAAAACATAAGGGACCTTGATGGTCACCAGTAAGCTTCTTATCTTTCCTGGCAAGTGGCAAGTTAAAAGGCAAACAGCAAGGCTGTAAGGATGTAGGGAGGAAGTGGTACTAATCCTTGCCTAGCACCCGCTGAGAAAGTCCATCAGGGTTACTATGTGGTAAAGTGGGCAGGGAAAAGGGGAGAAAGCCATATTCTTCTCTCAAAAAGAATGGAGAGTTGGCTAACTTGTAATGGGAGGTGCTGGAGATGGCTTTGTCCCTACATCCTCACCAAGATCATGGTCTGACCTGAAGGCAAGAATAGGCTGCTTCCCCCTTCATCCACTTTTTGCGTATTCTCATTGACGACCCCCCCCCCCCCGTGTGTGTTGATCTAGCGCTCTCTCTAGCTCATATAGCCTAGGGTGGCATTGACACCAATATGCTGTTTTTATATCATGATATCACCTAACCCACAACAATACATAGACCAATACATATGATTCCCGTGAATCTAAAAACTGTACCATGTCCACATTTTTAACATGAAGTGCAAAGATATTATTTTTTTAAACCAGCAGTCTCATTCTGAGCCTATGTCCTTGCTTCCTTCGCCTGTGATATAATCCCTAACTCTGTTCACCTCTCCAGTCTAGACCTGCATTTTTAGACCACACCCCAGCCAGCTCACTCCTGGCACCCCTCTGTTCTAGTTCACCAGCCTTTCCTGGGTACTTCTCAGTTAGCTCCACCCCAGGAGCAGTCCTCCCTCTGGGCTGCTCTGGAACACAGACTGTCCCTCCTTAACGGTGAAGGAGGGTGTGGGGCTTTTGTTCAGCCCTCACCCTCAGAGATGCATCTTCCCCCTCCTCTGCTCTGTGGTACTTCCTCTCTGGCAGATTTAGAAGCAGGACCAAGACCTAGCACTAGGACAGATTCAGGAATTCTCTGTCCGACCACTTTGCCCTGACCCTAGACGTGGCACTGACTTCTGATCAACATCTGGAAAACCTTGTAAGTATCCTAGGAATCGGATGGTGTGTGTGTCTGTCAGTGTGTTGTATATGAATGTTTGAGTGTGAATATGAGTGTGACAGTGTGTTGTGTGTGAGTTTGTGTATGTGAGTGTGTCCGTGTGGTGTGTGTGTGTGGCAGGTGTAGCTGGGGAGACGCTGGGAAAGAATCTCCAAAGAAAGTCTGACCTGTGTAAAAGGACTTGTTCTTAGGGCCTGTCCACTAACCCCGCCCTGTCCCAATCCTCTCTGGTGCACGCTGGTCAGCTCTTGAGAGAGTGGGTAAGTGATCGGAGAAAGTCACCAGTGCTCTGCGGATAGCGGCCTCTCAGGAGATTAAAGAGCTGGTCTCTCATGGGATTCAGCCGTGGGGAGGAAAGTCGCCCAGTCTGGTGCTGGGTTCCCGGGTCCCTTAAGGGAAAGAGGGTGAAATGCGGCTGTTGCTGTTTATTTTGCAACAGGGCTTGTGGCGAAGAAGGGGCCCCACAGGCCAGTTAGGAAATTAGTCTTCCTATTCAACCAGGTCTTTTGAAGACAACGGGGTTGACAGTGAGGGTGTGGTATATATTTGGAGGCAATTTTGGAAATCAGAGTATTCATATTCATGTGATGAGGTGTCAAGAATTCTTTTGACTTTCTCCTCATGGGTGTGCCCACTTCCTACTCTCTAGGTTCTTTTGATGGCTCCAAACACTACATCTCCTGCAGCACCTTCCTCTCCTGGTGGCATGTCTCTGTCTCTGCCTATTGCCCTGCTGTCTGTGGCCCTGGCTGTGGGGCTTCCTGGCAACGGCTTTGTGGTGTGGAGCATCCTGAAGAGGATGCAGAAAAGATCCGTCACCGCCCTGCTGGTGCTGAACTTAGCTCTGGCCGACTTGGCTGTGTTGCTCACTGCTCCCTTTTTTCTACACTTCCTGGCTCGACGCACGTGGAATTTTGGAGTGACCGGTTGCCGCCTGTGCCACTATGTTTGTGGAGTAAGCATGTATGCCAGCGTCCTGCTTATCACCATCATGAGTCTGGACCGCTCATTGGCAGTGGCCAAGCCCTTTGTGTCCCAGAAGGTGCGCACTAAGACGATTGCCAGATGGGTGCTGGCAAGCATCTGGGTGTTGTCTTTTCTGCTGGCTACACCGGTCATTGTGTACCGTTCCGTAGAACGGCTCAACAGGACTCTGATCTGCCGGCCGTATTATCCCAGCGACGGGCATATGGCCTTTCATCTGCTTTTTGAAACCATCACTGGCTTCCTTCTGCCCTTTCTGGCGGTGGTGGCCAGCTACTCTGACATCGGACGCAGGCTGCAGGCTCGGCGCTTCCGTCGCAGTCGCCGCACCGGCCGCCTGGTGGTCCTTATCATCCTGGCCTTCGCCGCCTTCTGGCTGCCTTACCACCTGGTGAACCTGGTGGAAGCCGGTCGTGCGCTGGTGGGCTGGGACAAGGCCGACTCTGTGGGGAGGCATCTGAAGATGGCCCGCAACGTGCTCATCGCGCTGGCCTTCCTGAGCAGCAGCGTGAACCCGGTGCTGTATGCGTGCGCGGGTGGCGGCTTGCTCCGCTCAGCAGGCGTGGGTTTCGTAGTCAAGCTGCTGGAGGCCACTGGCTCCGAGGTGTACAGTACCCGCCGCGGGGGCACCCTGTGCCAGTCCCAGAAGGCCACACCGGCCTGCCCTGAGCAAGGTCCCACCGAAGCCTCCATGACCTCCTCTACCCCCTCCTGAGTGAGGTGAACTGTAGTAGGTTGGTCTGACCCACTTCTGTATCTGGAGAACAGGTTGGGGACTGGACGCAAGAGGAAAAGAGGGAAGGGTGGGGGGAGTCAGGGCAAAGAGACTGTATGCTTTGGTCTGGCTTCTGCAGGCAGCTTTACGATTAAAACTAAAGTCTGAAATAAGCTTAAGCCTGTGAATGAGGTGTACATTATGGGGCACTGGGGGATGTTCATTGGTTTCCAGAAGGGACCACTCCGGTGGGGTCCCTCTCAACAGTTCCCCGTGGTTTGCAGTTTTGGAAGGAACACATGGGCAGATAGAGCTCTCTACCTTCCTAATTCGGAAATAGGTGACCTGCAGATCCCACTTAGAAAAGCACACTACTGACTCCTAAAGGAGATATTAAAGGGGTTCGTTGTGTGGCCCTAGAGTCATGACTCAAGGCACCTTCTAAGAAAATCAGTTCTTGTGAAATGTCTTCCCAGAAGTTGGTGGTACATATCCTTGATGATATAAACCTAACATCCTCTCAGGAGAGTCCTGGGAGAAGGTTTTCCATCTCTTCATCTCCCAAAGAAGTCTGGGGACTCAGGCATCAAATCCCATCTTCTAGAATTCTGTGCATCAGTACCTGCCATCTCTCAGAAGCCATGCCCAACCCCGTAAACAAGATGTCCCAGAAAGAGAGGCCTAGGAAGACAACTTGGGAAGAAACTGTGCCACTGAGGAGCAAGGAGGCGATTTCCAGCTACCTCAGCAGCTTCTGATCCATGGACTGATTCAGATGCCCAGTAAACGTTTTATTGAAGATCTTAGAGGAGGGGTTGCTGAGGTGCCTAGGGTGCTGAGGGAGATCCAGTTCTTGTCAGGTCTGTGTTCAGGAAGTACGTACAGAGTTGCCCTTTGCCTTTGACCTTGATGACACCCCGGCTGTAGCATATATACCCCAGGGATTGCAGGGCCCTAGCTGTCTCCTCAGTCACCTGCAATTGGAAGAGGGGTAAGGGAGCGTAGCCTTTCCGTGCTCCCTCCCCCACCCCTACGTCATAGTTCTCTCACTTGGATCTTGCCAAGGACTCCTGTGCTCTCCATGCGGCTGGCCACATTCACTGTGTTCCCCCAGATGTCGTATTGTGGCTTCTGCGCCCCAATCACTCCTGCTACTACTGGACCATGGTTCAACCCTGATAAGAAATGTGGTAAGGAGGGACTTTGATGGGGGCGAACTTTGAAGAAGGAGATTAAAGGAGGTGGTTTAGTAAGAGTCTTTTTTTTTTTTTTTTTGGTTTTTCGAGACAGGGTTTCTCTGTGGCTTTTGAGCCTGTCCTGGAACTAGCTCTGTAGACCAGACTGGTCTCAAACTCACAGAGATCCGCCTGCCTCTGCCTCCTGAGTGCTGGGATTAAAGGCGTGCGCCACGCCGCCTGGCTTTAGTAAGAGTCTTAGAGGTTGGTGGAGAGAGGATTGAGGAAGGAAAGGGAAGGGAAGGGTGAATCTCTTAGCTCTCAGATAGTGGCCTTAAGCTTCAGGCTGGAGAGCAAGTATGGAGGGAGGGTGTTCAGGGATGAGCTGGAGAGCAGCTAAGGAAGGTCTTAGGGAAGGGAGGGGAGGTACCACCTTGCCCCAGCAAAGGAGGCCCCTCACCCACACGAAGGCGGAAGTTATTGAATGAGTGCTTGTTGATGATATCCAGCTTAGACCCCAGGGCCACTGCGAATTCCACCATGGTGCCCAGATGGCTGCAACTTCGATCGGCGTCCTGGTAAATGGGTCCACCCACCGTGATGGGCAGAGAAATAAGTCCGGCTCATGAAAACGCCCACCAGTGGAAGCCCCCCAGGAGGGTTGACCGGAAGGGGTTGCTGTACCTGCTGTGTATCCTGTCCAGACGTGGCGTTTAAGCCTGTGGCTGCCATGTAGGTGCTGCCAATAGTTTTGATCTTCTCTACTCCACTGAACTTTGGCTTGGAGAGCAGCTGTAGAGAAAGAGGCTGTGTCCCCCTCTCTCTTGCTTTCACCACTCCTTCTCCAAAAGCCTGCCCAGGCCACTGGAGGCTAAAGGACCATGTAGGGCTGGAGATGGTGGTGGGAAGGAGGTAGTTGGCAGCGTGCAATGAAGGGGTAAAGCTCAGAGGACGGGGAGGGTTGGAGAGGTTGGGGAGTAGAAGTGGCCGAATGGTCAGGAGAGGAAAATGTGAGCAAGAGCTGGTGGGGGGATCCAGAATTTGGAACATAGGGTCTTGTATTGCACCTCATCAAAATCAGCAATTATCTCATTGAGCAGCCGCAGACACTCCAGGCCCTCATGGTTGATGTTTGATTCAGAGTAGAATTCCTTAAAGTCGGGGACCGATGCGAAGAGGACACAAACACATTCATACGACTGGTGGTAGAGATCCTGCGAACAAGAGGAGGGGGAGGTGCTTAGCCCCTTGGGCCAGCAGCTTCAGTCCTCACCCAAGGGAATAAGTCTGAAGAGGGGTGAGCCAGAGAGCAGCTACTGCATGACTCAGGGTGTGAAGAGTAGGTAGAAAAGTGGCCCCATTTGCAAATTTGGAGTTAAGCTTTTTGAATTAAATAAGTTTATTGGTTTTGTGTATGTATGCGTGTGCGTGTGTGTGTGTGTGTGTGTGTGTACACGCTGAAGCATGTATGTAGCGCTCAGAGGAGAACTTTCGGGAGTTAGTTCTCTCCTTCCACTTTTAGTGTGTTCCAGGCTATGAAGTATTCTTTACCCCCTGCGCCCTAGAGAACTGGATTTTTATTTTAATTAATTAAAATTTGCTTGAATGGACATATATGGCTAACAGCTACCACATAGGGTGTTGTAGAGCTACAGGGATGGGTGGCGTGCTCTTCAGACCATTCCCACCACTGTTTGATTCGGGCTTCCAAAAGGTGTGACATGGCCATGACTTGGAAAGATGCTTGCCTTCCCCTCACTCCCACCCTCTGGCCATGGGCCTCCTGCATGGTAGGCAAGCTCTACCAGTGAGATATAAGCCCAGAAGTTGTTCTTTCTAAACAAAAACTGGAAGCACAGATTTTGTGGCCACCAAGGACAAGGCCCAAGACTGTGCTCTGACAAGGCAGGGGCGTGGGTGACCACTAATCCACTGTCTGGGGACCCCAGAAAGGATGGGAGAAGACCCAAGATTCTCATCCAAGCTCAGTTGCATCTGGGCCTCTGGAGTATGGGGTTGGGAGTCACCTCATTGCGCCGGTTCTGGCCGATGAACTGAGGGGCCACGTGTGCCGGGAGTACATTCTCCAGGAGGAGCCGGGTCAGGTTCTCCATTGTCTCAGTCTCCTCTCGCTCCCGCCTCAGCTTCTTCTTCCACAGGAAGTCCAGGCGGCAGTAATACTCATTCTAGGGTGACAGAGCAGTGTCCCCAAGACCCCCAGGCAGCTTAGAGTTAAGGTTTAAGGTACAACTGTCCTGGAGGGAGGTGGCTTTTAAGATCTATTTCAAATTAGGTTATGCAGAACGAGCAACAGACATTGTTCATAGCCATGATTTTTCTTAGATTTGGGGACAGGAGAGGGGGGTGCTGGTGAGAACCTGAGGGGTTTAGAGAGGGAAGAAGTAAGAGTCGGAACACTCCCTTGTAAGTTTCAAATGGACATACTACTGGGGCTCAGCCCTGAAGATGAGACAGAAAAGTTACCAATATGAGAACCCAGCCTCAGCCATTCACACGGAGGCCCCAGAGGACCGAGCTGAGAGATATACCTGCCGAGCCAGGACAAGGAGCGTGAAGAAGAAGATGAAGAAGTAGATAGCTCCCATCAGTTTGGGTTCCTTCAGCACCCCTGGCCTGAGAGATCAGAATCAAGATTGTTGTTCCTTGCTCTGCCCCTTCCTGATGGCCTCCTTCCTGCTCCCAGTACCCAAAGAGCCCTCAGCACCCCTCCCTTTTGCCTTGTGGGTGATTCAAGTCTGTGAGGCAAGGACAGCTCTGTGTCCTGTCTTACTCACTCTCCCGAGGGCTTGTGCAGATGTGCCCTGTGAGTGTGCTTACCTGGAGTCCAAAGGGCTTTGATAAAGCTGGGCGATGAGGCAGTCGGACAACCAGGCGTAGGAGTGCAGAAATAGGGAAGAAGATGCCACCAGCCACAGCAGAAGTAGTAGCAGTTTCAGTTCAAAGCTCATGTGCAGAAAAACGGAGCAGGAGAGGAAACCCAGCACGCAGCAATGCATAGAGTACTGTGGGCCGGGCAACACAGTCAGAAGCATCCTCTAGAGACCACTGGGAGAGTGCCCACAGCTCCTGTTCTCCCAGGGCACAGGGCATACCAGGCAAATCGGGATATCATTCATGAAAACAGACACTGGCTATGCCTACTGTCCTGGAAGAAGTGTTCTTTAGCTTATGAGTTGGCAGACTGACAAGGAAGGGTATGGGGAGAGAGACTCAGGGCCGTACAGAAACACTCACTGGGATGCTGATGAGGGGCAGGGATCCTGGCAGTTCCCAGGAAGCATTGGAAGCCATGGAAGATGCATTGGAAGCCAGGAAAATGCAGTCTGATGGCACTGGCAAGAAGAACTGCAGAAGGAGATGGGTGGAGGGCAGGTGAACTCCTTGGGCTGTGACTGAGCAAGGAATGGCTTAGAACCAAACTCCTATAAAGAGGCATATTCTACTCCTTCTGACGGATGAGAGAGCTTCCGATGGGTCCTTACTGGGAGGAGGGGCTGTGAGAGATGTCACGGATACTAGTATGTCATCAAACCGGTGTCAGTTTTTGTCAACTACTTAACCCTGTAGACTGCCTTTCTTCCTTCCCTCTCTCTTTCTTTTTAATTTGTCAGGGGGATAACTCCTATTGAGTTCTAGGAACAATTATAAATTCTGTAACCTTCAGCCAAATAAGCTAAAAATGATGAGTGCCTACAGAGGAAAACGAAAGAACATTCAACGAAGTGTTAACAATGAGTATGCCTGGAGGGTAGGATACACACACACACACACACACACACACACACACACACACCTCCCAGCATC